ATATATACATGAAATAAAAGTAAGTCTCATTATTCTTTGAGTGAACCTTTACTTTAACGTTCCCCTCCTCACTTACACAAAAAACTTTGGGTCCTCTTTGAGTTCATTCATAAATCTCCTCATTAGTCTTCTCCAAGGCCTCCCTATTTTAACCTTGTCCTGAGTTTTGAGTGTTCAAATCCAGGATAATCCCTCCTGTATGTTGCACTGATCGGTTTGAGGCTATAGAGCAGAAAGTGCTGTTTTTTCAGACAGAAAAGCAGACAAACAAACAAACAAAAACATTTTTATAACAGCTGATATGTCAGAACATGTATGATGCTGCACATTTATTAAAACGAGGGTTTTATGCAAAATTTTATAATAAGATTTGTAGTAAGAATGTTATGTCACTTCATCAGAACATGCCTTTTGTTTTATGTCATCCATGCATGTTTCAGTAATCTAGTGATCTCTCACTATTAGCCCTTTTCAGCCCTTCTTGTGGTTGACACACAAACCATCACCAGAATACAAAACAGCACACTACAACTTCACAAACCTGATGTGCAGGAGTTGTGGCTGGTGCGCTGGTGGTGCTGTGATTGACACTGAGAGTCTCCTTCCTCCTTCAGTGGTTCTATGATTGATGGTCACAGCGCTGACCTCATTAGTGCTGGAATATCAGTGTGGCTTTTGACCCCTGTACTGTAAACATTATATTTGTGTATAAGCCCCAGAGAGGTTAGATCTAACACCAAACGTGTGTTGAACCACATCATTTAATGCAGGGGTCCCCAACCCCTGGGCTGTGGACCGATACTGGGCAGTGGGGTGTTCGGTACTGGGCCACGAAAGCATGAACCCCCCATATGCTGCGTCTCCCATGCTTCCTCCTGTACACCACACGAACTGCGCCTCTAAACCAGAACTAAAACCAGGTCTAAACCAGGATTAAACCAGGTCTAAACCAGGTCTAAAACTTGGACTAAACCATGCCACACAAACTGCGCCTGCGTCTTCTCGCTTACACCTCTGGTCCATGAAAATATTGTAGGACATAAAATCGGTCTGTGGCACAAAAAAGTTTGGGGACCACTGATTTAATGTAAAGGCACCAACTGTTTTATGAAATATAACAGAAAGTGCAGAGAGTGCATTTGAAACTGTTTGCCATGGTGCGTTTGGACAACTGCAAACTGTAAAATGCACTCTTTTTATTCCTCACTCACCTTTTGCATTCAGAGCATCCTAATTATTCACCACAATGAGTTTATAATGTTTTTCTCAACTTTTGGAGATCAGAGATCAGAGAGGAGTTTCATCATCATGATAATGACAACAACTAGCATGCTAATTGCACACTTCCCAATACATGGACAATAAAACGTTTTGCCGTCTGAATCTGAGACATGTCTGAAAAAAGGGTCTAAATTGATGTAGCATCTTCATGTTTTGGCTCCCTTATCCCTCCCTATTTGTTTCTTGTTTATTTCACAGTGTCAGATGTCTTCTGTAATAACTGTCTTTTGTGCATGTGTTTAATGTATCATTGGGCACTTTGAGCATTTTTTTTTTCCCAATGTGTGTGTTGTTTTTTTTTAAATACAGTTAAACTAACCTAACCTAACCCAGAAAGTCACACATAAACATTTACTCATCTGGCTGCTGATCACAAAGAGTACTGGCCCTTATGCCGCTGTCACACCTTGATGATTTAGCCAGCGTATGCCGACGTATGAAAAATTTGGCAAATATGCTGATGTACGTCGGATAAGTTCTAGGTAAGTATTGTATAACTTCTGAGCACGCTGAAGCACGCTGGCATATGGAGACATACGGCAAGGTCGTGGAAAAATTTGGAGCATGCTGAAAATTTCTGGCCATATGTCAGCGTATGTTTCTACGTCCTGCATACACAGGCCATAAGTTGTAGGTAAGTTATGTGATCGTTGACACACGTTAACTGTAAGTTTCTCATACGTCCAAATACGTTGAGAAAATGTCTAGTGACTTATGAGTAACGTGTTTTGAACCTGTGTGTAACTTATATATATCTCCAACGCATATTGACATATGCAGACGTATTTGACATGTTAAAGATCACCACAGAACTTACTGAACCTGTTTCTAACTTGTAGCTCCCGTATAATGGCGTATTGGCAGTGTTTAGGAGAATCGGTATAAAATTGGGAGGAAACAGTCAGACTTTGCGCTCCCATATATCATATGAGCCCATGCAAAACACTTGATCAGAGAATATTTCTACCACAGAGGATCTCAGACAGTGGGAAATTATCCTCACTGAGAGCTGTGGGAAACAGTCATTTGCATTTAAAAAAAGAGCGTCATGTAGGCGATCTGCTGAGAACACCATACAGACTAAGTAAATAACCGATCAATTCATTGTGCCAGCTCAATAAGAAGACTTTATTACTCACCCTGTATTATCCATAGAATTTGTCCTTCGCAAATAATGACATCCAGTCGACAACACCGCGCTATTAATCCATTTGAGTCGTTCCTTGAAAGTAAAAAGGCGAGTGTGTCGCACGTGTGTTTGTTTACGTCCAGCGCGTGTGAAGCTGCAGATCAGTGACAGTGACTCTACTTCCTGTGGACTTTATCTCCAATCTTTTATGCTTTAAAAACCATGTATCTGAAGTATTACACCACATTTCACAAATAATAATAAGTCAGTTTTGTCTTGTATCTAAACTAGAAGTGCAGAGCTGTAAGATCTAGAAGAGCAGTGGTGAGTGGTTTTACTGTAGACAGGAAACAGCTGACGCCATCGTGCTCACAACTTTACAGCCTGTGGTCTGCAGACAGATCCCGCTGCAATATAGGCTGCCTACCGACCTCCCGACTGTTGCATTCAGCACCATACACTGTACAGAGAGAGAGATTGATATGATGATATATCATATGATATGATTTAAATTGTCGAGCGGCAGCCATTTAATTGGCGACGACACGTGATCACCGGTGATACGCTGCCATGCTCTGTGCATAGGTTAGACTATCATTAGGCATAAGTTGTGGATGCTGGCAACACGTTAAGCATTAGTTGGTATAAGTTCCATCCATCCATCCATTTTCGTCCACTTATCCGGGGCCGGGTCGCGGGAGCAGCAGCCTAAGCAGGGACTCCCAGACTTCCTTCACCCCAGACACGTCCTCCAGCTCCTCCGGGGGGACCCCGAGGCGTTCCCAGGCCAGCCGAGAGACATAGTCCCTCCAGCGTGTCCTGGGTCTTCCCCGAGGCCTCCTCCCGGTGGGACATGCCCAGAACACCTCCCGAGGGAGGCGCCCAGGAAACATCCGGAACAGATGCCCGAGCCACCTCAACTGGCTCCTCTCGATGTGGAGGAGCAGCGGCTCTACTCCGAGCTCCTCCCGTGTGACTGAGCTCCTCACCCTATCTCTAAGGGAGCGCCCAGCCACCCTGCAGAGGAAACTCATTTCGAGCGCTTGTATCCGTGATCTCGTCCTTTCGGTCACTACCCAGAGCTCATGACCATAGGTGAGAGTAGGAACGAAGACTGACCGGTAAATCGAGAGCTTCGCCTTTCGGCTCAGCTCCCTCTTCACCACAATGGTCCGATACAGCGACCGCATCACTGCCGAAGCTGCACCGATCCGCCTGTCAATCTCCCGTTCCGTCCTTCCCTCACTCGTGAACAAGACCCCGAGATACTTGAACTCCTCCACTTGAGGCAAAGACTCCCCACCCACCCGGAGAGGGCAAGCCACCTTTTTCCGGTCGAGAACCATGGCCTCAGACTTAGAAGAGCTGATCTTCATCCCAGCCGCTTCACACTCGGCTGCAAACTGCCCCAGTGCACATTGCAGGTCCTGGTTCGATGAAGCCAACAGAACAACATCATCCGCAAACAGCAGAGATGAGATCCTGTGGTCCCCAAACCAGACCCCCTCTGGCCCCTGACTGCGCCTAGAAATTCTGTCCATAAATACAATGAACAGAACCGGTGACAGGTGCAGCCCTGGCGGAGTCCAACATGCACCGGGAACAGGTCTGACTTACTGCCGGCAATGCGAACACAGCTCCTGCTCCGGTCATACAGGGACCGGACAGCCCTTAGCAAAGGGCCCCGGACCCCATACTCCCAGAGCACCCCCCACAGGACACCACGAGGGACACGGTCGAATGCCTTCTCCAAGTCCACAAAGCACATGTGGACTGGTTGGGCAAACTCCCATGAACCCTCGAGCACCCGATGGAGAGTGTAGAGCTGGTCCAGTGTTCCACGGCCAGGACGAAAACCACACTGCTCTTCCTGGATCTGAGGTTCGACTATCGGCCGGATTCTCCTCTCCAGTACCCTGGCATAGACCTTACCGGGAAGGCTGAGGAGTGTGATCCCCCTATAGTTGGAACACACCCTCCGGTCCCCCTTCTTATACAGAGGGACCACCACCCCGGTTTGCCAGTCCAGAGGTACTGTCCCCGACCGCCACGCAATGTTGAAGAGGCGTGTCAGCCAAAGACAGCCCCACAACATCCAGAGACTTAAGGTACTCAGGACGGATCTCATCCAACCCCGGAGCCTTGCCACCAAGGAGCTTTCCAACACCTCAGTGACTTCAGCCAGGGTGATGGATGAGTCCGCCTCCGAGTCCCCAGCCTCGGCCTCCTCCTCGGAAGACGTGACGGTGGGATTGAGGAGATCCTCAAAGTATTCCTTCCACCGCCGGACAACGTCCCCAGTCGAGGTCAGCAGCTCTCCCCCCGCACTGTAAACAGTGTTGGCGAAGAACTTCTTCCCCCTCCTGAGGCGCCGGACGGTTTGCCAGTATCTCTTTGAGGCCGTCCGATAGTCCTTCTCCATGGCCTCCCCGAACTCCTCCCATCTCCGAGTTTTTGCCTCCGCGTCCACACGGGCTGCAGCACACTTGGCCCGCTCTCATGGATCTCTCAAAGACAAATGTATCCTGGATCCCACTGGATTTCTTTCGTAAATAATGCTTTTGTACTGATTTCTTTCTTTTTGTTGGGCATGTCGGGCAGCATGTCATGGTGGAACACGGTCCCCCTGGATCAGTACTACCAACGACTTCTCAAACAGCATGGGTACAACAGGAAAGGATTCAGGCCCCCTGCTTTCCGTGATGCTCATCAACCTGTGCAGCTCCTGGTACAGACCTCTGCTTCCCCCAACGAGCTGACCACCAAACCAGAAGCACCCGCTCTGGCAACCAAACCCAAACCAGAAGCACCCTCTCCAGCAACCAAACCAGAAGTACCTGCTCCAGCAACAAAACCCCAACCCAAACCTAAACCAGAGACACCCACTTCAGCCTCCCAACCCCAACCAGAAGAACCTGCTCTGGCCATCAAACCCAAAGGAGAAGCATCTGCTCCAGCTACAAAACCCCCACTTCTCCACTTTCACATTGCCTATGCCCCAAACTATCACTTCATCATGGACAACGCTGATGCGTGCAAGAACCATCCCTTCCTGGTTCTAATGGTTCCAGTGGCACCCACAAATGTAGATGCACGAGATGCCATTTGTCAGACGTGGGGTAAGGAGTCCAGGGTGCAGGGGGAGCAGGTGCTGACTCTGTTCATGCTGGGACTGGCCAAGGGTCCTCAGGCCGAACAGCAGAGCCTCCAGCAGGAGAATGACCAGCACCATGACCTCATCCAGAACGATTTTGTAGACTCATATGTCAACCTCACCATCAAGACCATGGTGATCATGCACTGGCTCTCCATGCACTGCACCAACGCCGTCTTTGCCATGAAGATTGACTCAGACATGTTTTTGAATATAGACAATCTTGTGGACATGCTAAAAAAGCCTGAAATACCCAGAGTGAACTATTTAACTGGGATGCTGATGGTGAACCGTCCAGTGGTACGATCCAAAAACTCAAAATGGTATGTGTCAGAAGAGATGTACCCTGAGCACACCTATCCGACCTACTGCCTGGGCATGGGCTACATCTTCTCCAGTGACCTCCCAACGAAATTTGTGGAGGTCTCCAAGACAATCAAACCTTTTAACATTGAGGATGCTTACATTGGAATGTGTATGACAAAGCTGGGTCTGAGTCCAACATCTCCCCCACAGCCTTGGCAGTTTCAGGCATATAACTCAAAATATAACCGTTGCCAATTCTCCAGGGTCATCACCTACATCCTGCACTCCTCACAGCAGCTGCTCCAGTTCTGGACAGACTTGAAGAAATCTGGTCCACCCTGTCCAGAATGACACCACGAATCTGAGCTGGGGCAGTGGAGTGGGAGTGTGGGTGGGTACAGTATGTGCTGGCCACATGGACTGCATTCATTCATACAGCCTGATCTGGGACTTGACCTGCATTCTGCCAGAACAAAGTCATGTATGAACAAAGTCACAACTGCTTTTCCAGCATTTTTGATCTGGTCATTTCTCAGGTAAATTACCAGAATATGCACGGAATGTGTGAATAAAGCCAAGGAATAATGAAGGCTGGTATGAAGTATCAGAGGTGTAGAAGCCACCTTAACCTTTTTGCACTGTTGTCTGTACAACATGTGGGCCCGGTCAAGCAGAAGTAAACAGCAAGGCCAAAAATTCAAGTTAATGCATCTGATATAAAAATGTATTCAACAGATACATATGTACTCTAGTTTATGAAACTGTTGACCTTTTTTCTGTACAATTTTTGGTTCTAAAGTTCCATACATTTTAAACAGACCATGTATGAAACATGGAACAAAAATTATTTTCCAAATTTCAAAGACCTGCAAATCATGTCAATAAATGGATGTATTTCATCATATCTTGTGTTATTCCATCTTTGAACTGTTGATGAAGGTACATGATTTTTCAAAAAAATGTATTTAAAATGATATAAATTTGCTTGGAAGGACTGACATATTTTATAGAAATAGTTTCCTTTCATTTTGAAGTAATATTAAAGTATTCAGAAGAAAAAAGCGACAAATGATGTAAAATCCTGCACCTTCTACTTGCTTGCACAATTTTCCCTCCGTTACTTTTCCCTCCGTTACCATGACCTTTCTTAATAAAAAATCTCATGACTCAAAAAGTAAGAGGTTTTTAAACCTAATCTTGTACCATATGGTAGAAAACTATATGAAGCAAATATTCAAACCAGTTTGTTAAGGATATGTAAGTGAGAACCAAGAGTTATCACTGTTTGGATTTATTGCCCAAAAAGTGCTGCATATTTCATTACCTCTGTTACCGACATGAGTTTTTAAAATTTTTTGTCAACAACTTGAAAGAATATCACAGGTTTAACTTGACCCTGTTGGAGTGTTAACTCTTTCCTACATTCTGATACTTTACTTATTTCAATAGTCCCTCTAGTTTCTGAAAAAGAACTATTTGAATGTCAAAAATCTGCCCCTGTTTCCCTCTGTTACCGCTTGACCAGACCCATATCAGGCTGTTGTAAAATAAACTTATAAATATATGTATAAATGTAATTTGATCTTAGTTTGCCATAGAATCTATCACCAACATACAAACAGAATGGAGATAAGGAAAAACGCAAAGCACAATGCAGGGGCTGTAACTTAATAATAATGTAATGTAACTTAATAAATTTATTTTAATATGTAAACATATAATATATAAAATAATATATTTTTACTATTGTATTTTTCGGACTATAAGTCGCTCTGGAGTATAAGTTGCACCAGCCAAAAAATGTGTAATGAAGAACTAAAAACATAAAAGTCACACTGGAATATAAGTCGCACTTTTGGGGGGAAATTTATTTTATAAAATCAGAGACCAGGAACCAGCATATCATCTTGAAAGACAAGTTCTAGTAATAACAAAAGAAGAGAGAACAACAGACTGTTAACCTCACATATGAACAGTTCTTCAGATAAATATAACATAAACAACAGAACAGAACAAGTTTACCAAACTCTCCATCTCACTCCAAATCACTAAATCCATTCAATTCTTCATCCTCGGTGTCACTTCTGAGCAACTCCGTGACCTTCAGAGGTAAACAGAGCGCCGCTTCCTCTTCTTTGTAGCTGTTGTCAGACTCAGCATCAGGTCCAGGTAGAATTATTCAGGATGGTTTCGGTGTCACTGAAGTTCAGGCTTTGTCCATCCATCCAGTGACTTCGGGAAAGTTTCATGGTGTATCCTCCTGGTGTCACAAGTTTCTCACTCACTCCAAACTTTCATTCTGCTGCATGATTACTTTACTTACTTTACTCATTTTCGGCTGCATATTTTGCTACTTGCAGCTTGTAATCTGCAAAGTATGATTTTCATTTTGGGGGCATTTGTGTTCAGTCTTCTCAGTCGTCTTTATAAGTTTGTTTAAATTGGTACAGAAGTAATGGTGCGATCGACCAGACAGGACAGAGGCTCTTTCTGCAGGAGACATGTGTAGTAGAAGTGACAGTGGTATTGGAGTAATAAGAGCAGCAGATACTGGCACACAAGCATAGAGTGCCCTCTCATGGCTGTCAGTGTGAACATTTTAATATAGAATTTACCTTAAAAGACAATGTAAGAGCAGATGCTGTTAAACACATTTTAATATATGTGAATACCAGAGTATAAGTGGCAGGACCACTCAGACCATGAAAAAAAGTACAACTTATAGTCCAAAAAACACAACTGGTGCTTCAACATATTAATTAATTCTACAATTAATCTCCTCAACATACAAACTCAGAAACATGTGATTTAAGGAGAGAAACATTCAGTTCAATTAGTCAGATCCAGCGTCTTCAGTTCTGGTCAGACGCTGGTGGACACTGCCTTATACCTACCTGAAGGGAGGAGCTAGCTAACTACACTGAGCACACCTGCTTGTTTACAGTTTTTGTTTGTTAGAAAGAAGAAAAAATGTTGACTTGGTTAGATGCATTAACTTAGACTGAGACAAACTTTATTGACCCACAAGGGACATTTTTTGGACACAAGTAGATGTGTTTCAGTGTAGGTTCAGTGTAGTTCGTTCCTCCCTTCAGACAGTGTCCACAGCAGTCTGACCAAAACTGAAGAAGCAGCTTGGATGAGTGGTTTACACAGACTGCCTCATATGAAGGTGTCTCTGTCTGATACAGTTAAGGTAAAGTGATAAAGTGATAAAGTGACATTTACAATCACGTGTTGCTTGAGACTTTTACAGTCCATACGCTCCTACACACAGGACACACGTGTGTGTGTGGACGCTGCAATCATCATAAAGGCACAAACCAGCTATATATTTATCAACCTCTAGTGCCTATTCTAAATCAGACTGTGCTGTTACATGCAGCTGGTATCCAGGTACAGGTATATATTTTTATTAGTATATTCCTGTATTTAAATTTTACTTGACACCAGCCTCTTGCTATTTCTCCTACTTTTTTATTATAACATAATTTATTTTAACATTCATATATTTGTTATTATATTTTCCTACCTACTGTGTTTGTCGGCTACAACTACCTAAGCTATGTAAAAAAAAAAAAAAAAAAGTTTACTCCCACTTGAGTAATATTTTACATGCAGACAACCTGCATAGATAAGCAATGTGTGCAACTACTCGTCTTTTTTACAAAATGGGTGACATGATGAGTGACAAGGCAGCCTCTAATGAGCTGGTTGGTTTAGTCTCAGGAATTAAAACAATGCAGGGTGTGGTACATTTTAAAGGGAAAGAGACCTGAAAGGCGGCTGCTTGGTCTGATTGACTGATCCTCTAAGACACTGTCAAGGGAAGTTCAGTTATGACTGTAGCAGGTGTGTTTCAGTGTAGTTTCAGTGTAGTTTCAGTGTAGTTCGTTCCTCCCTTCAGGCAATGGCCACAGCAGTCTGGCCAAAACTGAAGAAGCAGCTTGGATGAGTGGTTTACACGGACTGCTTTATCTGATGTCATTCTAAAAAAAAAGGTTCTGGAGGGATTACACATGTTGAGGGAATAACGTTGAGGGAATAATGTTATAATATGGTATAAAGCTCCTAAAAATAGAAATATTTAAACATTTGTGAATTCACTGTTTGGATGGCAAAGTACAATGCTGTAGCAATATGGAACATTTGGCTCTTTCCTCATGTCTAGGACAACAACAACAACAACAATAATTATAATAACTGAGATTAATACAAGTCTTTCTGATTCTAACAGTCCTAAATTGGCCTAACAATTAACTGATATCCTTTTTGTTAATATCAACAGGACTACCTACAATTTGTAATTTTTCACTCTCCTTTGCCAGTGTCAATCACCAGATGTTTCTTACCTTGACAGTTTCTGACCTTTGATGTTATTGTCATTAGAAAATAAATAAATGGAATATCTATGGTATTTCAAATTAAAACAAAGTGTGAAGTGTTTACTACATTTGCAAACCATTAAACTTCAGTAATACTAATAGTTCAGAGACACGATGACACAGTCAACAATAAAATATCTTCATTAATGTTCAGTAATGCTCAAATCCACTTTGACTTGGGTCATGAAGATTTGTGACTTTTAAAATATGGGTCGCTAGAAAAAAAAAAAAAGTTTAGGAAACATTGTTAGAAAACCTTTTTGTTCCATCTTCCCATGTGACCACTGTGACTGTGGCCCGGGCTACCCAGACTCTCTACTGTGTATATCTGTTGTAACAAAGACTAAACCTGCTTTCTTTTTCATAATCCACAAGGTTTTCACATTTAGTATTTCACATTTAGACTTGTTAAGTTTGAGTCCAGAGGCAACAGAAAACTGCTTGCCAAGAGAAATGGCAGAGTCAACCTGATTTTTATCTTGTAAAAACAAGGCTTTATCATCTGCGAGTTGTGTAATTCTAATTTCTTTACCAAAAATGTTGATACCCTGAATAACTTGACTATTTTTGTCATGTAATGAGATTACTTCAGCAACCAGCATAAAGAGAAATGGAGTGACTGGGCCTTGATGAACTGAGCGATGTACGGGAAAGCCTAGAGTTGTATGTGGATATATAACAGAACAGAGCTTTGAGGAATTTTGTATAGCATTTTTATATTTGATATGAATTTAGGTTCAAATCCAAACATTTTGAGTGTACTGAAGAGAAAGTAATGTTCAACTGTGTCAAACGCCTTGTAAAAATCCAGAAAAACAACAAGAGTCTCAGAGTCTTTTAATTGGGAATGTTGGAGCCTTATTACACATCTGTACCTCCTGCCACTGTGAGGCGCTATTTCTAATTTATGCAAGTACCTGCCCTATAAAAGGGGAGGAAAATGTGCACACAGGTGTTGCACCATGAAGGTATACAGTCTTTTGACCGTCGTCGTCGTGATATATTGAGTGCTGAATCTGTGTATTTTTGGATGGCTATAAGGTACACCAATAAATATTGAGAAACACGGTATTTGTACTCTCTTTTTATGGAAGACACGCATTCGAGACACCACACACGCTGCAGCCATAGCGGACCTTGCACAGGGTAAGTTTTGGCCGCTACAGGGAATAATCAATGAGGTCCAGTAATAATCTAATATTTGAGCTGATGTGTGGATTGGACATGAAGCCCGTCTGAGTTTCGTTAATGATTTCATGTAAATGCCCTTTTAAATGTTTGGTAAAGAGGCTAGAATTTTATAATTTATGTTTAATAATGTGATTGGCCTCCAATTGTCAATTAATAAAGAGTTTTTACCAGGTTTGGGATGAAGCAAATTAAACCTTGTCTCATGGTGACTGACATTTCCTCTTGATTAATACAATGATTTAAGAGCTTAAAAAGTGGGTTTTCCAAAATTTCCAAGAAATGTAGGTAAAATTTGGTAGTAAGACCGTTGTTGCCAGGGAATTTACCTTTCTGCATTATTTGATCGCATCCATCATTTCTCTTTTAGTGATTTATTTTTCACAGTTTTGCTGATACTGATCTGAAATTGTTGGAATAATACTTTGAGCAGAGTTAGTAAAGGATTCACACTCTACTGTTTTGTCATTTGACTTGTATATATTGCTATAAAAGGTACAAATGAACTGAGAGATTTTTTGGTGGTCTGCAACCATAGTGTTGTTAATCATAAAGTTAGAAATATATACATTTTTTCCGATTGCGCTTCTCTAAAGCAAAGAAATAACTGGATTTTCCCCTGTGCTCCAGCCATTTTTTTCTAGATCTAATAAAGGAATACCTATCCCAAAGTGCAGCACAGTGTCAACCTTGAATGATCACCGTCCTGTGGCTTTGACTTCGACTATTATGAAATGTTTTGAAAGGCTGGTTATGACAGAAATAAGGAGGTCCATAAACGTGGCTGAGGACATACATCAGTATGCCTATCGTGAAAATCGTTCTACAGCTGATGCTATATCTGGACTGGTTCACGTAGCTCTAACTCATCTTGAAAAAAAGGATTCTTATGTTAGACTCCTTTTTTTGGATTTCAGTTCTGCTTTTAACACCATAATCCCACAGACACTGGTAGACAAACTCATTCTCCTGGGCTTAAGCAGGACACTGTGCAACTGGATTTTGGATTTCCTCACCAACAGGTCACAAGCTGTAAAGATCCACAACATCACATCTTCCTCCATCTGCATCAGCACTGGCTCACCACAGGGCTGTGTTTTAAGTCCCCTTCTGTATACAACGCTCACTTACGACTGTGTCGCTCACTATTCTTTCAATCATATAGTGAAGTTTGCTGATGACACAGCAGTGGTGGGGCTCATCATGAACAACGATGAGTCCAATTACAGAAGGGAGGTCTGTCAGCTGGAAGCTTGGTGCAAAACCAACAATCTGTACATCAATATAAAGAAAACAAAGGAGATGATTGTTGATTTCCGCAGGAAACCTAATGCCCCCTCTCCTCTGTACATCAATGGAGATGCGGTGGAGATTGTTTACTGTCTTAAATACCTGGGAGTCCAAATCATGAATAGTCTCAGCTGGTCTAATAACACCAGTTGCATTGTGAAAAAGGGACACCAACGCCTATACTTTCTTAGGCGCCTAAAAAAAGCAGGTGTGGGCCCCTCTGTCCTGAAGGCCTTTTACAGGTGTGCGGTGGAGAGCATCCTCACCACCAACATGACTGTGTAACCACACAGTCATGTTGGTGGTGAGGATGCTCTCCACCAGCAGCAGCACCAAGGCAGAGAGGAAAGCTCTGCAGAGGATAGTTAGAGCTGCGGAGCGCATCTGCAGCTGTAGTCTCCCCTGCATTGAAGATATTTACATCAGCAGGTGCAGGACAAAAGCCCACAGCATCATGGAGACTCCACCATCCAGAACATTAACTTTTTACAGCTCTCCCATCAGGCAGAAGATTGCGCCACCTACAGGCCAGGACCACGAGACTACAGAACAGTTTTTATCCTGATGCTGTGAGACAGATTAATTCTGTCAGAAAAAACACTACAAAACAGCACTGACTTGGAACGCACTTTAGAAAATGGGGGCGGGTTGATATACAATATTTTTAACTATTTTATTCTTGTTATAACTATTTATTCTTATTATAACTATTTGTTCTTATTGTTATCTGTGCTGCTGTTGACCTGGACCTGAGTGCATTGTTTCGTTTCTGTGTATTTTTTATACTGGAATGACAAATAAAATTTGATTCTGAGGAAACTTTTGTCAAATCAATATACATGTTGTCAATTTCTATTTGTAGGCGTGTAACATTTCCTTTTTCTTCTTCGTTTAAAGTTGGTCTTAATAATAAGATGTTCAGTTTCTCCATTAGTTCCGTTTCTCTTAACATTTTATTCCTTTTTATTTCTTTGCTTCATTTGATCGCTTTCTCCCTTTCTTTAAACTTGAAGTACTTCCATTTCAGAATGTCATCCATTGCCTCAGAGTTTAATGTTTCTCTAGTCAGGTCTTTCACTATGTCACAGAAAATATCATCTCTTAGTAGGTTGTTATTACATTTCCAATACCCACGTAGACCTTTGTTAAAAGGTTTGGACCCAACAAACTGAATAGTAAGTCATTTATGGTCTGATAAGGGAGCATAGGAACGACTCATTTCTAAGACATATTGAATACATAGTGGAGAGTCTGTTCTAGACTGTAGAGATCTACAGGAGTTTGAGACAGGAGTAAACTCAGTAGTCTGGGGGTTAAGTAGCGCCGGGCGTCCACAACAGTCATGATCACAGATGTATGATGTACATTTGAATCTTGTGTTCGGTCTTGATCTTGGCGGTATTCTGTCTATAATCAGTGTTGGGAAGGTTACTTTTAAAATGTATTCCCCTAAAGATTACAGATTACATACCCCAAAATGTAGTTTGTAATGTAATCCATTAAATTACTTAAAGTGAGTAATGTAATCTGAATACTTTGGATTTGCTGTAGAGAAGCAAAGACTCGGATATTGTAACATAAGACGTTTTATCTGCTAAAAGAAAATAAAAAGCCCAGACTTTACTTTACCAAATTAAAAATATTATTGATAGAAGACGAGGAAACACATCTACGTAGCATGATTTAGTCTTGTTAAATCCTGTTTTAGTCCTATTTTAGTCCTGGTTTTAGACCTGGTTTAAATCTAGTTTAGATCTAGTTTAGACCTGGTTTTAGGTTTAGTCCTTGTTTCGACCTGGTTTAGATCTACTTTAGACCTGGTTTTAATCCTGGTTTAGTCCTGGTTTAGATCTGGTTTAGATCGACTTTAGCCCTGGTTTTAGTCCTGGTTTAGATCTAATTTAGATCTAGTTTAGACCTGAGTTAGTTTCGGGCAATGAGTGAAATTACTGAAAAAACTGGAAAATATCGCCGTGTAATCCATTTATTTCAACCAAGTAACTGTAATCTAATTACCACTCACTGAAACAGTAGCTATAACCGAATACAATTACTCATAATTTGTACTCTGATTACGTAACTCCGATACATGCAATCTGTTACTCCCCAACACTGAATATAATGTCATTTGGTGTATCGTCTCTTCCAAAGACGGAGAGAAGAAAGGTGCATGGGAGTTGTTCCGGTCACGTGTTTCCGGGTGTGCTCGTAGGCAGGACCCGCTCAGCGACAAGGTGTTTCTCTGACGCTGAAGCAGGCTGCGGGTGTATGGACCGCTACGATCACTTCTACCGCTTCTACAGCCTCTACGATCCGAAAGAGAGCCGAAGGAGACGAGCCGGAGCAGACCGAGGCGCGCCGCAGCCTCCCCGCTGAGCACATGAGCCGTCCAAGCCGCAGGTGAGTGCACATCCCCGCGCAGGTAACCCCCTCTGTACGACTCCTCGACTTTTCCTGTTCTGGCTGCAAGACCAGTGTAAGACAAGACTAAAGATTTAAGGTTTAGTCAGGAAATAGATCTCACATTTTTGTATATGGGATTTGCATATGGGTTTGTTACTGGGAGGTTTCAGGCAGTTTCCACACATTTCTAAAGGACAGACTGTTTCAGATGATATCTATTGGTAGTTTTCAGGTTTTACAATGGATGATGTCATACTCCCAAGTGGGGGCAAAGGCCTGATTTCCCTATTGATTACTTTTTACTTGCAAAAGGTAAATGTCGAACCTGATATTTTAAATTAGTGACTAAACCCTAGAACTCACTGTATTACAACATCTTTTTACATTTAACAATTTTCATTTTAGCAATAGGCCAATACTATTTAATACAGGTGGGTGTAGCTAAAATGAATATTCTAAAATGGAGATATAGATTTAGACTTACACAAACTTTATTGATCTACAGGGGAATTTATTTGGACACGGTATAATATAATAACAAAGAACAAAAATGGGAATGGTAATAATAAATTCTAAATAAGTAGCAAACAAAATAGCAAGAGACAGGTGTCAAATAAATCATAAATATATAAATGTAAATGTACAAGTCAACAGAATGAAATAAAAAAATAAGTAATAAAGTATAAAATCACAGCTTTATACAAGAGGGCATAGGAGACAGTGCGACAGTGATATGATTATTGACCGGACATAGGTTTATCTGATTTGTAGGGCTGTAGGGAGTATTATCTATTATATAAGGTAAGAAGATATGTGTTGTAATACAGTGAGTTTTTGGCTCTAGTCACGAATAGAAATGATCAGCTTCAGCATTTGTGAATTTAATTTTAGGGTGTTTCATCACATTCTAAAACCACCAACTGGTGGTTTTCAGATTCTCAGATGTGATGATGTCATACTTCCAGATGGGGGGCAAGGTTTTTTTTTCTATGAATTACATTGTACTTTCCTATAAAACATCCAAAAGGCAATTTCACAAATATGGTACTTAATCATTCCTATTAGTAACTAGACCCTAGAACTTGCACTATAACATCATTTTTTCTTTATTTGAACAATTTTATTTTAGCTGCCCCCCGTTTGTATTAAATAAAATTTGCCTGTAGAGTTTTGTGATGTCATCTGAAACCCACCAATAACTGAGTGTGTATACATGCACATCAGTATCCTGGTTATTACCCTTATCCCGGCACTATTCGGAATACTGCGTATACATGTGCACTGAGAAACCGGGATACTCATATCCCTGTGTACATGATCAAATGGAGTACCAGGTTTCTTTACATAATCTTATAAATGCGCAAGAGCAAAAATTAACTTAATTTAATAAGCCAGGAAAAATAAAAACAACCATGAGCTCCTTTAGGAAACTCGGGAGGTTCCTAACCAGCAAGGAGCTATGATCCACTGCACAGATCAAAGCCAACGTTTCCAAACATTGTACAAGTTCTACACTGCAGCAGATTCTTAATTAAAATCTTCTGCATAAAATAAACTGAACTTTACATCATATAAACTATAACCGCTGTAAAGCCACATCAGCCCATTTGATCATATAATTCAGCTTTGCACATTTGTTTGTGCGCCGATGCGGTCAGCTTCTGTCAGACTGAAGGACATATATGAGAGTTCTATCTGCAGTGTTGGGGAGTAACAGATTACATGTACTGCCCTTACGTAACCAGAGTACAAATTATGAGTAACTGTATTCAGTTACAGTTACTGTTTCAATGAGTGGTAATTGGATTACAGTTACTTTGCTGAAATAAGTGGATTACAGGACGGTATTGTCCTGTTTTCACATTTTGTGCTATATCCCATTTATTATTTTTTGGTAATTCCACTCATTGAAACCCAAACAGAACGCGGCAATAAGAGCGATGTAAACGTCATATTAACTTTGGCGGCGTCAGTCACACAATCGACGAGATCGTTGCCAGTAGAACAGAGTCAGCGTGCACTCCCAGCCTGAGATACATCTATCCATCTCTCGCTCGCTCGCTCTCTCTCGCTCTCTCTCGCTCTCTCTCTCGCTCTCTCTCGCTCGCTCGCTCTCTCGCTCTCTCTCGCTCGCTCGCTCTCTCGCTCTAGCTATAGCTATAGCTATATATAAAAAATCACCTACAAGTTAAATGTCAAACCGGAGCTACTGGCACTGGTGAAAACAACCTGCATAGAATCTGAATTTATTTGTTTGGAGGATAAGCCCCTTGAGATGTGATAGGCTCATGATATCTGCACTACTGTCCTATAGTGACCTGCCACATGCACACAAACACACACAAACACACTCAAACACACACCTTCATCATCGTCATCAACCTGAGAACGTGTGGACCATATGTCTCCTTCTGTAGCTACTGCGCGGACACCGCCGTCCTCACGTGCGCCGTGTGTGGACCGTGTTTTCTCGCGTACGCTGCGTAAACCGCCTCCCGAGGAACTTTTGGTGGCATTTCATGCGAGAAATGCAGCTGAAGTGAAGACTGACTGATGCTCGCTGTGGCTGTAGTCGTGAATGTTTTAATCTAAACATACAGAGAACCTGATATTTGCTAATTAGCCCTGGGATAACGTTACGTCTGATGTTAGCCAACTGGCTCCACTATGTTATCTAACATATAGGTGCAATTTCCCGTTCAAAGGAGGTGTTTCTACACAATATTATACAGCAGCGTTCGGTTCCCGAATTCAAGACATTTTTACAATAGATTTTAATGAACCCACTTGTTGGTCACTGTTGTAGCTTCTTGTGCTATTACTCTGTTTTTACCCTCTAGTACACACTTGAGCATGCGCAGTCTTGATCTTGATCGATGTTTCTTCTGCTCGATGGATAATGTCTGTGAAGTGATGACGTATTTTTGACAGTAAAGTTCCGTCTGTGAATTCGTATTCGTGCTGATGAAAGCGTAATCGTACATTTTCATTTCGTGATTGTAATTCATGACGTCGTAATTTTTCAATTCGTATTCTGATGGATAAAATACACACAATATATTTTATGTACGACTGGACTCATTTGAGAGTTTACAAATATTTATTTTATGCGCAACTACAGCCAAATATGCACGGATTTCCCAAATACGCACGGATTTCTATTTTATGCGCACAAATATTTTTGACAGCTTTCTTACTCCATACTTAACTCAGGTCAAAGTGTTTATATTAGAACATTAATTAATTGTAACACTACTTATGTAGTATACAGACTTGAATGCCCATGTGGTCGTTTCTACATAGGCCGAACAAAACGTAAATTGAAAAATAGACTGGCTGAGCACAAACAGGCTATAAGGACCTGTAACCCTCTGTATCCTATGGCCATGCATTACAAAGAAGCCAACCATGGCAGCTGGAAAAGCCTAAAAGTCTGTGCAATTGAACATATTAAAGAAACAAGGAGGAGATAGACTGAAAAAAACTATTACAGAGAGAGACCTACTGGATCTACACTCTCAAGGCTACACAGTTTCCAGGAGTTAGATTTCTCCCCCTTCTTTTAAAACCACAAGCTTTAAACGTGTAATCAATCCTTGCTCTATATCCCTGTGTTCATGAAATTATTTAAGACTAGCCCTTAAATATATTATGCAAACTATAGCTGAAGCACTTTTGAATTATCGCACTATATATATCCTTACACTATGTATCTTTTTATATTAGTTTTTTATACCATTTTCATATAATGTATCTTTCTATGTATTGGTTGTTGGGATTTGTACCATTTATGTCTTGTATTATTGTATTTGAACTTGTATAGCCTGTAATTAAAATTTGTTAAGCCTACATGTCCCATCATGCATCTAGGGGACTGTGGGCCAGCCCACTGTGAACATGTGACCTACACCTATTACTTTAAATCTGCACTGTGAGAACCATCTCGAGTTTGCCCTGATGAAGGCCGAAGGGCCGAAACGCGTCGGCGTATTTTAACTTTATCTGCCATGTGCTATTAAAGGCTTTGAATTATTTTGTACTTTTTGAGTGCCTCAGTTTTTTTCCTACTTTGTATTTGAGACTGGTCCCTACATTGAAGAGCACCAAAAGAACAATTCTGCACATTTTTTGCATATCCAAGTAGCACTCCTGCCCCCAAAGCCTTGCTAAGCAGGCAAATGGATCAATACATGAGTGCAGCACAGAAGGGCATTGGCAAAAACACAAGGGGAGCCAAGCACCAACTCCTGCTTGACCGAGCATTCGCCCGCGACTGCAGAACCCGTAAGACCACTGCCTGGATTGATTACAAGAAAGCCTACGAATCAGTGCCACACAGAGCTGTACAATGTCAACAGGACTCTAAGGCTACGTTCAGACTGCAGGGCTTAACGCTCAATTCCAATTTTTTTGTGAAATCCGATGTTTTTGCAAGGTCATTCACATTTCCAATTAAATGTGACTTGTATGCGATCCCCTGTGTGAACAGTAAACGGCCAAAAAGTGTCCCACATGCGCACTGGAGGACACGATGACGTCAACTGCAGCGAGTGTGCTCTGTGTTTATGGAAGTTGTCCAAACATGGACGCGAGCATTGAGCACCTGGCGACTTTAAAGTTCCTCTCGTACCGGAGCCAGAACATGAACAACTTACTTGTTTTAAGAAGGAGATTGAGAAGGAGAAGGACGAGGTTTTTGGCCATGGCGTTTTGTGGGACAGCGGCAGTGACTTCCGTTGAAAGGAACATGTGGATGTGGAGACGTAGCCAAGAGTGGTGAGTGGTGATGAGCTTCACTTCAGTGACACAGAGTTCATTAACAATTTTCGCCTACTTCAGCGCAGAATAGTGATATTTGTGGCTTGTTGATAACGTGTAGGTCGAATGAATGCGCTTTGGCCGTTCACACTGAAGTCGCATGTCAAAAGATCTGATATGTATCTGTTTCAGGACCACATATCCAAGTGGCCTGGGTCGCATTTGAAAAAATCGGATCT